AGCGCAAAAAATGAAGAGCTTAAACAAAAGAGATGTATTAGTCTTAATAGAGATTTATAAATAAGTACGTAGCTTATGATTTCAACACAAATTTTTACAGACTTATTCTAATTTTCTTGGTTTTCTTAGTTAGTTATTTTTTTTTTTAATAATTTAAAATAATCTTATAATTTTTCCCTACAATAACTATCGTTCAAAATTCAAATAATAATAATAAATATTTTGGTAAAATTTCTAATAATCGTTTTTTTTTTCGCTACTTACTAAGTCTCGATGAGTTCACAGTTGAGCAGCAGCTTGCCGGGGCCCAGCTCTACCACTGCGACCGTCTGATCGTGATGGTAGATCATTCGCAATGTGTCGTTGCCCACACGGCGCCCCGTGTACGGCTTCACTCCAGCCGCGGGCTCCCGCCTTTCAGCATCCTCGGATCTCGCCCCGACGGTCCCAACGAGCCCAGCCAGGGACCAGCCCGCTGGGAAACTAAATGCAAAGGGCTTTGCTGATGCTGTCTGCGGCGAGGACACAGCTATGCAGCAGATCACAAAGACTGATATCAACGATTTAAGAATACCGTCTGCTACAGGCGCGCCTCTGGTGAGGGCTTCCGTCGCGGAGCGCACCGCGCTCAACAGCCTTCGAAATGACATTGCTATGCGTTTTCGTCCATGACGCGTGTTCGATTCGACTGCTCGGTCTGTGTGCTCGGTGCCGACTGAGTTAGCAGGCTGCGGTCAGCCCTCCACGCCGTGCATTGGACACTTTCTTCGTTAGTGACGTCATGTACATGTGAATTTCTCTCAGGATGACCACAAATTAGTGGTAAATTTCCGGACACAGCTTTTGCATAGGTGTTAACGAAAGCTGCTTTTAATTGCTTATTTTTAAACGTAGTACAAAACAAAATAATTGTCATTACAAATTCCTGAAATTTAATAACTTTCCATGTAGATGTTTAAACAATAAAATTCGTAGTAGATTTTGACGGCCTTTGCTTTGGTTTATACTTATGCGAAAATTACGTACCATCAAAAGACTAATTGCATGGATTATATCCCATTTCATTTTACTTAAAAACATGCAATAACATGGTAGAGCTGATGTGTTGGACGTGCTCGTGTAATTGTCAACCTAAGCCATCTTCAGTCTTAATTATCAATTTGAGATCTTAATGTCGCTCTTGTACCTTGTGTGTGCCTTGTGAATATTTGAAAGCTTTTCTATCAGTTCACCCGTAAGAAGATATTAACATATTTTTAGACACAGAGACCACATATTTAAATGAACAATATATCTCTAACATAGATACTTACGCTTTTTACCCAGAGTGGTATGCAGAGACAACGGACTTCCATTTAGCACTATCCTGATACAGCTTTCGCTTTTTTCCATATCCATATATCTACGCATACATGCAAGTTGGTTACGGATACTATTAACTTGGGCCATTTTCCTATATTTTGTCAACACAATAATTTTAGAGAGATAGGTTAGAGAGCTACACTATCGCATTAGGTAATTAATACTGTAATGATAGTTGTAATTTTCCGAAATAAATAAACAATAAAATAAAATAATAATAGATACTTAACTACATCATTACAACCTTTCATTATTCCATTGCTGAATATAGGACACTCCGAGGAATGCTAACAAAACACGATCCTGAGCCATCTGCATCCATCGACTTCTTGTTTTAATTTTATATACCTGCTTATTTTCTATTAATTCCATTATATCTGATTTTGCCATCGATTACCAAAGACATATTATTTTACTCGATCAGTTCGCATTGATGTTACAAGACTGTCGGCGTGAATATAAAGTTCCTGGAAACCCTAATATCAGGCGATCTTTTTACAAGCCGTAACGTAGGGCAGTGAAATTCGATAGGATAACGCAAGAAACTAAACAGTCTTTTACTTTTCCTTTCTTATGACCTTGAGAAAAGAAAATAAATTTAAAGAGATGACCTTTATTCATAAAATCTTATGTAATAAAATCATTTATCAGAAATGATATTTTTTTATTAGACTATCTATGTTATCTCTGCTATTTTATGCTGGAGTAACACCATTAGTAAAGCCAATGAGTAGCTGAATAAATGGAATTTAAGTGTCTGTTTGTAATTTAAAAAAAAAAACAGCTTTTTACTAAACGTATATAAAAGTGTATACATTACTTTTGAAAAGAAAACAATTTTTAAAATTTTTATCTGTCTGTTTGTTTGTTGTGGCTGATTTCAGAAATTGCTAGACGGATTTTGACTGGCTTTTCACTAGCTGGTACTATAATGAGTAACTTGAGCTTATTTTAGAAAAATAATTAAGGTTCCGCACAAAAAATATTAAAAACCATGAAAGTCCATCGTAAAAAATTACACGCGACCGAAGTCGCCGGGAACAGCTAGTTATTTTTTTATACGATAAGGGTGACAAACGAGCACACAGTCCACCTGATGGTAAGTGGTTGCTATGGCTCATAGACATCTACATTCATCCTTGACTACGAATCAAAAGGTAGATGCGTTGTCACCCGTGAGGATTAAAATGGAATACCTCGTTTCCAATAAAAGGGGTCTCCGGTTCTCTACACTCACCATACGAAACACAGCGGCATTAAGCTGCTATTTTATGCTGGTATTCTGTGAGAGCGTGGTCCTTCCCCGGTCGAGCCGACCCATTCGTGCTACAACCATACTAGTAATATAGCTGCAGCGTGGCTCTACCATGTAAAAAGTCAAAATATAAAATAAAACATTTACGTATCCAGATTCAAAACTAAAAACCAAAAGACAATTTGTTGTTTATTTTGCACTAACATTGCCTTAACATCAGGAATGCATTTTATACGTTGTTAATGTATAAATTAATCACAATTACAACTTTTAAGACATTTCAAGAAAAAGACTATCAAAATGGCCGGCAATGTTCAGTAATTTTTTGATTGATTAATTGTATTATTATATTATATTGATGAAAAAAATAACCTTCCTTTTACGTGGATTACAGAATATCACAAACCCAAAGCAACAACTTTTTATACGTGGTAGATCCACGCTGCAGCTATAAGCACTCCTGATCTTTCTCCGGTCGTGTCGGATTAAGAGAGCGAGGGAATAGAGAGTTACGCAAACACTTGTGCACTATAATCCTGTCCTGCGCGGATGGCTAGTCTAACGTTGAGACTGGCCGCTGTGACCGAAATATCAGTTTGGAGTACATTATTATTATATACAAGAGCATGCCGCTGTGGCTCGCGTTACTGTATAATTGCGCAAAAAGCTTTGAATTGGCAGTAGGAACTCCAGCACGATCGCAAATTAGTCTCTATATACTGCTCCACTGCTCATGCTCAGTTACCACAATGCAAGTGGATCAGAGCAACTACAAAATAATAAAGAACTTCGAGAGAGTGAAAGAGCGCTGAAGCTGTAACTATATCGTCGTCGGCCATTTCGTAAAGTTTAATGCGATGTCGTGTAGATGCGGTGTAAGAGAATACAATTACAATACTCCAAACGTGATATACATGGTAAAGCCATTCTGCAGCTATATTAGTAGTATATTTGTAGCATGAATAGGTCGACTCGGCCGGGGTAGAACCACGATCTCGCAGAACATCAGCGTAAAATAGTAGCTTAATGATGCTATGTTTAGTATGATGAGTGTAGACAACCGGAGACCCTTTTTACTGGAAACGAGCCGTTTCACTGTAGTCCTCTCGGGTGACAACACATCTGCATTTTAACTCTTAATCGAGGATAAATGTAGATATTAATGTGCTACAGCATCCATTTACCATCAGGTAGACTGTGTGCTCGTTTGTCTCAGATATTCTAAAATTTTTTATCTGTCTGCCTGTCTGTTCGGGCTAATCTAGGAAACGGCTGGACCCATTTTGACGGGACTTTCATTGGCAGATGTTATAAGGAGTAACTTAGGATACTTTTATTTAAGAAAAAGAATTAAAATTAAAATCCTAAAAATTCAATCGTTATAAACCACATGCGTACGAAGTCACAGGGAACAGCTAGTTAAACGTGTAGACAAATATATGTTATGCGATTTATTAGTCAATTGTGAACTGATTTTATTTTTATTAAATAGTTCAAAATTTCCTGAAATTTATATGGGACATAGAGTCGAAATGAGAACATCCTTTTTCAACAATAACTTCAATTGAAAAATCAAGTCGAACGCAAAATATCGATCCTACTAACAAGCGAGTATATATTAGAAAATAGCAATTGCAAAGATAAGAATATAATATTAAAAAGAAAGTTAATAACGGAACAGTGGACTCTCCTTAAATTTTAAACCGGTCTTTATAAACCAGCCATTTGAATGGTATAATTAAAAAATATACGGAATCGATTTTAATTGTCACTTATAGGTATTTATTATGCAATTAATAGCGATGCGCCGTTCGGATCCGATCTTTCCGAGGATTTTATTGCATAGAATACGACCAGCGATTTTTTTGATACGAAATATTTCCTATCGTGCCTATTATTGGGCTGATAGGCCATGGTCCGTATCTTGAACTTTGTTTAGGTTACAAAACACATAAGTATCAACTCACTTTTTAGAACTTTGCTTTGAAATCTAAAGCGACATTTTTCAAGGGTACTGACTACTGAATAAGGTCAATTTAATAATTTGGGTAAGTGGATTTCATAAACTTACGCTATTTCAAATAAAAATTGTAAGTGCAGTAGAAACTCGATTATCCGGCCCTCAGTTATACAGATTCGCGTTTATCCGGACAATCCACCGCGACCAATTAAATAATTAAGTCATATTGAGCAATTAAAGTTACTATTAAATTATAATAATATTTATTAAGTTACAAAATGTTTAAGATATGTATGTAGGTATATATTAAATATTTATAAGGTTGGAAATATATAAACCAAACTACGGACGTTGCTTAAAGTAGAAGAATAAAAATAGTTAAAGATATATAAATAATTAAACACTCGGCACTGTGGCACTATTTTATGTATGTATATACTCGTACATACCCTAGATACTGAAAAACTTACAAGTATAATAATTATAACGTGACTTTATTAGCTTTATTATTTATACGTGGTAGAGTCATGCTGCAGCTATATTGTGGTTGCACCACGAATGGGTCGGCTCGACCGCCGTAGGACCACGCTCTCACAAAATACCAGAGTAAAATAGCACCTTAATGCTGCTGTGTTTCGTATGGTGAGTGTAGAGAACCGCAGACCCTTTTTACTGGAAACGAGGCATTCCATCTTAGTCCTCATTCTTACATCTATTGTGGTTGCAGCACGAACGGGTCGGCTCGACCTGGAAAGGACCACGTTTTCATAGAACACCAGCGTCAAATAGCAGTTTAATGCTGCTGTGTTTCGTGTGGTGAGTGTAGAGAACCAGAGACCCTTTTTACTGGAAACGAGGCATTCCATCTTAGTCCTCACGGGTGACAACGCATCTGCATTTTGATTTTTAATCGAGGATAGATGTAGATGTCTATGGGCCACAGCAACCACTTACCACCAGGTGGACTGTGTGCTCGTTTGTCACCCTATCCTATAAAAAAACTATAATGCTAATCCTGCACAGAAGGCTAGTCTCCGTTGAGACTGAGATAATGACAATATGTGACCATCTGCGTAACACATAAGTATCATCTTAGTCCAACTAACAGCAGCCCTCATTAAATGTTGCTTGTTAGTTGTTATAGATTTTCTTGCGTTGTAACAAGACACTGTAAGTTCATTCTTGTTAACGTTACTGTCTTATAAATGTCCACTGCGGATTTTGTAATTATTTGCCATAGTTGCCACGACTGGCAACCGGGTTGTCAACCGCAGTTTCTTATTTATAGCAGCATATACCTACTCTGAATCAAATCTACAAATGTCAACGCAATATTACCTGATTAACAAAATCTATCGCGTAGAGAAACTCCTGTATATCCCTCTCTATAGCTCACTGAGCGGCCTTGAACTTCCTCATACGTTAGAACCAGAGTAACTGATATAGCCCAACGGATTAGTAAGCTGAAGTGGCAATGGGCCGGCCATGTAACTCGAATATCGACAACCAATGGGGAAGAAATAATCTTCAGGGAAAGTCTCGTACCGGTATGCGAAGTTTAGTTAAGCCCGCCACTAGATGGAGTGAAGACCTGATAAGAGATGCAGGAAGTCGAAGCAGGTGTGCTTTGTGGCATTCCTTGGAGGAGATTTACACTCAGCTGTGGACTTGTGATGGGCTGTAGTCACGATGGTGATGATGATTACCTGATTTGATATCGTGTCACCGTCATTTTGTGGAGTCGAACAGATTATTGAATCGTAATCTAAAGAGCTGTAATTTCCAATGCAGTTGTCCGACTGCAAAATTTCAGCCGAAAAAGATGTTGCTTTCATAGTGTCGCTGCCCGTATCATTCTGAAACGCAATTCAAAATTAATATTATTCTATTATAATTAATAGAAAACTTGAAATTACATTTAATCTATGGTCGAATAGAATTCAATTTTAATAATGATTTAAATAAAACTTGACTCAGAAAAATATAAATTTTATAGAAAACTTAACGAGGAATCCGAATTAAACTTATTGAATAATAAAGGTTGAAATTACGATAGGGTCATAACTTACTTTCACTAGCATCCATCCATACACTTGCACGTCTTTAGATTCTTTGGAAAAATTCCTGGATATTTGCAAAGTTTCAACATTAGCTGCCGGCTCTATTTTCATTAATACTAAACTAGGAATATTAGGATGCATTTCTTTTCGGTCGTTAGATTTATTCTTGCTCTCCCAATGACTTTCATTATTGTGCTGTACAGTGGTGGGGTTCGAACTTTTTGGGTGGAGCTGAATTTCAGTTACTTGATGCGCAGAACCGTCTATAAGTGGGTTGGTAGCCCCAGCGATGATGGTGTATACACTTTGGTCTAATTTTGTCCTTGAATGATGTAATACTGTTAATGTTTAATCAATATTAAATTTTGTGTTGTTTTTGTTCCGGTCTTTGGTTTAAACTCACTTTGTTTAAATTTTTTTAAAGTAAATTTGATTATAAAGGCTTTATTCCAATTCGAATCGATAAAAAAGATCGAGTTACGATCATGCGTTATCAGCGCCGTTTGGTAGAACTGGATATTTTATTTGCGGAGATTATAATATTTTAAATAACTTAAAAATTCACTTCAAAATTATTTTTATTGGGACAAATTTATCAAGAAAAAGCATTCTCGTACCTTGAGACTATGAGAGTCATCTAGCGTCGGGTAGATAAAAACTTTCATTCTGAAAATTCCAGTTCGAACCACTATTCAGTTGTGTGCTATGCTAGCTTCAGTTTGGGAAGTAGAAACTATCTTGAGTTCAAATAAAATTATGATTAGGCCTATGTTTTTACGTCAATTTTATTGTCCTTAGGTTATGTACATAAATATTACAATAATCACAAAACTATATTTAACATTATATTTAAAGGTCGTAGTTAAAAAAAACAACAATATACATAAGCATTACAGCTTTGTTCTCAACATAATAATGGTATTTAGTACACACTCGTGGCAGGAAATAGAAGTAATTTAATTTTGACCATTAATGATTCAAAATACTATCGAAAGCTACCATCTGTGTTCCTTGAATTTAACAGTAAAAAAAATCAATTTTTGGGCTAAACTTAATCTGAGTAACTTACTGCTCCTTGGATTCTGTTACCCCCTCAGGAATTACAGGTGTGACCCTATGAATATGTTTACCTATGTCAAAAAGCTTTGTATTAGAACGATAGGGAAAATAATCACAATAAATTAATAGTAAAAATATTTTTAAAAACACACTGTTATTTAAATGCTCTATTTTATTAAAAAATATAAGTTTTTTCTTAGAATTACCTATTTATGCCAATATCAAGTTTTACTGTATTCTTGTTTATGTACACAGGTAAATCTTGGGACAAGCTTGTATATCATAACAAATTGTATAATGTAATAACTCCATGGGTTTGATTTTGACCTAAAAAATTCGAACCAAAAAACGTAATCGGAGTCTCCAAAATTACACGGGGATCGAGAGCACCTTAGTTTTTGATCGCCAACTTATATTTGCCATTTTGTGTATTTTGTGTACGTATAATCGCCATTATTTTCTATTGCCAACAGTTAACCCTTGTTGTACCCTACAACATTTGTTCAAGCACCACCAAACTATACCTAACCTTTGCCGAGTTACAACTCTTTAAAATTGGTATGGCGGCCATTTTGTTTCCCGCCTTTTTAGCCATGGCAACATTCCAGCACCATCAGCAAATCAACTTTAAGTCATAATCATATTACATTACCATATAAGACGTCCGCTTACATTGGATTTAGAATGACATAACTTTTTTATTGTTTCGTTAATCAAGCTCTTTTATTTAATATACCCATATCATAGGGGTTGCTGTAGAAATGATAAATCGCTAATTTGTAACAACCACCATATTGCATTCAAAATGGCGGCATTAAAGTGATTGTGCATTGTCTCAAGAACCAAACATGTGTGCCAAATTTTAGTCCGATAGCTGTAGTGGAAGTTTACAAATTTTTACGAAAACTTGCAGGACATACATAGAAATAAAGTTAAATAAAATCTTTCAAAAAATACATCAATGCCCAATAAACCTACACTATTCCTTCAAATGCTTCTTCTCACTGTGTGTTCACTATTCATGTTTTTCACTTTTTAATGCCTTTAATTTTGTTAAAAAAGTTAGCCATCACGGCAATTTTTTTATAGAATAAGGGTGACAAACGAGCACACAGTCCATCTGAGGGTAACTGGATGCTATGGCCCATTGACATCTACATTTATCCTCGATTGAGAATCAAAACGTAGATGCGTTATCACTGTCCTAATGACTACGATAGAATGCCTCGTTTCCAGTAAAAAAGGCTCTCCGGATCTCTTCACTTACCATACGAAACACAGCGGTATTAAGTTGCTATTTTACGCTGGTATTCTGTGAGAGCGTGGTTCTTCCGCGGTTGAGCCGACCCATTCGTGATACAACCATAATATAGTCGCAGCGTGGCTCTGATGAAGATTTTTTTTAAAAAATAAAAATACTTTGCTTTAAAAACTACTATTTATTTTCCAGAACTTTATCAATCCAGGCAGCATGGGCTGTCAGCGAGTACGCGTGTAAAGGTGTGCGTTGATCGAGCTGCGCGACACCCAGGACTCGAACCTCGTTATTCTGCAGCACCAGTACTGGCCCGCCGGAGTTCATCTGAAAAAAAAAATACATTTAATACTTTCACCCATATTACATTATAACACTTCTTGACTGCCTCGATGGTTTAGTGGTCGTAAACGTGTTTGCTGATTACGAGGTTCGTGTTCAAATCCCGAGTCGGGCCAAAATCTGTTATTGGGTTGTGTTTGAGCATAGATAGATATCTATCCAGATAACACTTTATTGCACGCCAAAAAAAACATAAATATTAACAAAAAAAGGAGAGAAAAAAATGTGGTACAATGGGCGGTCCCATCGCTAGGAGCGATCTCTTCCAGACAACTTTTAGATGAACAAGATTGCAAGAAAACAATTAAAACATATTATGTGTGGTTTGGCGACAATGATAACGTTATTTTTATTGTAAACTATAAAATAGAAATAAGGATGCATAATATAGAATGCAATTACATAGATAAGATAAGTATATACATACTCATTAATATATACATTTATAAATATAAATATATAAAAGAACAAATATATATTTTGAAACTATTACATATAACATAAATATGCCATACATATAAACAAATAGTGTAGCTAGATAAAGGTAGACTATTGAAATAATACTAGTTTTTACGGAATTTATCGCCTATATTTAACTTTTTAAAATACCCGACGTTTCGAGAGCTTTACAGCACCCACGGAAAGGACTGAGATGTTCAACGTCCAGATGTCATAGTTACCCGTGGTTACCATAGATTAAAATTTAATTTTGTTCCGATCTACACAGTATGAACTTATGGTATCATGAAGTCTTGCAGTTGTATGCTTGGGTTGGGATTTAATTTTATTTATTATATGATCCCAAGCAGATGGTAGCACCCAGCCATCTTCTCTATTGAAATTAGGATGTTTTTTGATTTCAATAGCCTCGCGAATCATCCTTGGAATGAATCGGTGTTCTTTAGCGAGGATTTGTGGTCTATCAAATCTGATGTAGTGACGGGGGGCGATCCTGTACGTGTTCACAGACTGCAGACTTCCCGGAGCGTCGATTCTTCACATCAGCTATATGTTCTTTAACGCGGGTTTTAATTGATCTTTTATTTTGTCCTATGTAGGAGAGACCACATTCACAATCAAGCTTGTACACTCCTGCATCTTGCAGAGGGACGTTACACTTGACTGATGGTAAAAACTGACCAATCTTCTTCGGCGGCTTGAAGTATGTTTTGATGGAAGCGCGCTTCAAGATGTAGCCAATCTTGTCAGTGACTCCTCTAACATATGGCAGTACAGCAGGTACACGCTCGACTGTGGCCGGCATCACTCGTTTTCTGTGACGTAGGCGCGGGACCCGAAGCTTGTTGTCATGCAAAGCTTGCTTGACGTGTTGGAGCTCGGCAGCCAGGTATTTCCTGTCACAGATCCCTCGTGCTCTCTGAAACAAATATTTACCCACGGTAGCTAACTGTGAAGGATGGTGGTGAGAATCACCGTTTAAATATCTATCTGTATGGGTCTTTTTTTATACACAGTATGGCTCAAGGTGTTATCAGGATTCCGAATTACTAACACATCTAGAAAAGCTAAGGAATTGTTTGCCTCTAACTCCATTGTGAACTGCATTTTAGAATTTAGAGTTAAGATGGTCTAAAAATGCAGTTACTTTATCTAAAGGTAGAATTGTGAAAGTGTCGTCTACGTACCGCTTGTAGAATCTTGGATTTATGGGAGAAGTAAGCAGGGCTTTCTCCTCAAAGTCTTCCATGAATATGTCGGCGACAATGGGAGATACAGGTGAGCCCATCGCCACACCATCTACTTGCTTGTAGAACTCCTCCTTCCACAATAGGTAGCCAAATGTAAGGCAGTGTCTGAGTAATACTGCATATTCTACGGGCATGTTGTTTTCTTCCAGCCTTCTAATTACAATTGAGATGCAGTCTTCAACAGGTAAGCATGTAAACAATGACTGCACATCAAAACTGACCATAGTTTCATTGTCTGCCAGACGTAGGACTTTAATCTCGCTGACAAAATGGTAGGTATCCTTTATGTGTGCTCTTGTATGTCCCCTGAGCGGTGACAGTATTTTCGCTAAGTGTTGAGCCAATCTGTAAGTTGGTGAATCGATTTGGCTCACTATGGGACGTAATGGAGCATTGGGCTTGTGTATTTTTGGTAACCCATACAACTTTGGTGATTTGGCGCACGTAGGTATTATCCATTTTTCGTCCAGATTTAATTTTTCGGAGTGTTTCTTTATGAGGTCACTAGTTGTTTTTAGTGTGCTATTTGTTGGGTCGTTATTAACCTTTTTATAAGTACTTACATCCGACAAAAGTTCTTGTATTTTAGAATTATAATCTGACGTATCCATGACTACCATGGCGTTTCTCTTATCTGCGCGGAGAATCGTAAGTTCTGGTTTATTGCGTAGGTTCTTCAACGCTATAAATTTGTCTTTGGGAAGATTCGGTTTAGGCACTGAACATCGACGTAACATAGACGAAATGTCTTGACGTATCGCCTCCAAATCTTCTTTCTTCTTCGCTATCTTCTTCGACGCTCCGGGAAGTCTGCAGTCTGTGAACACGTACAGGATCGCCCCCGTCACTACATCAGATTTGATAGACCACAAATCCTCGCTAAAGAACACCGATTCCTTCCAAGGATGATTCGCGAGGCTATTGAAATCGAGAATCGAAATTGAGAAGATGGCTGGGTGCTACCATCTGCTTGGGATCCTATAATAAAAAAAATTAAATCCCAACCCAAGCATACAACTGCAAGACTTCATGATACCATAAGTTCATACTATGTAGATCGGAACAAAAGTTAAATTTTAATCTATGGTAACCGCGGTTAACTATGACATCTGGACGTTGAACATCTCAGTCCTTCCCGTGACCACGGGTGCTGTAAAGCTCTCGAAACGTCGGGTATTTTAAAAAGTTAAATATACGCGATAAATTCCGTAAAAACTAGTATTATTTCAATGTGTAGTGTTCGCGTAAATATAAGAAATCAAAGGTAGTCTAATTATATACATATGAATTTAATAGAATCAAAGTTGAAAAAAAAAATTATGTACATGTTTCTTAAAAACCGGTAGGAATTGAGCGCGTCGTGCTGATAACGGCAAGTCATTCCATAATCGGACGGACGGACGGACACAGGGCTGTAGCTGGAGTCGAATTGAGGTAGGGCAGCATTGGTTACAGGTAGGGCCTCTAAGTCAGTTATGTACATTCAATAGCCATTCGTAGGCAAATAATTTCTGTGACAGAACATGAGCATGGATCTAAGAACTATTAATCTTATTAAAATATATACTCAATGATGAAGAACAAGCGAACAAGATGGTTGAACTTTCAGATTTGGATGTAACACAAGATGTGTTACATCCAAATCTGAAAGTTCTGCTGAGCTTTAGCAAAATTTACTTGTTATGTTTATTTTAGTTTAAAAGGGGATTCCCCGTACCATAGATTGCAATATAGCCCATATTGTAATCTATGTTACGGGGAACCCCCTCTGTATCACAGATGATATTCTCTAATAGCACAGTTTGCTTTAGCAAAAGTTTACTTTAAAAAAGTTTCCTTGAATTTTTGTCAAATTTCCGTCAACACCCGACTTTTCCATTTTTTTACGACAATTCGTATGCAACTTGCTATAAAATTTGACGTAAATTTCCTGGTCTACTGCCCGAATCAGAATGCAAATTCACTTTAAAAGTTGACGAGAAAAAAGTTGTTGTCAATTTTCAGGCAAATTTTATGTCAATTTATAGTTAATTTGACTTGAAAAATTGTTGAGTATTTTTTACCGTCAAATTGTAGACAATTTTAATGTCTACAATTTGACAATTTGAATTAATTCAAATTTTATGTATAAAATTGGTAGGAATAAATATTACCGACTTGTTTTTTTGGTAAAAAGTTACCTTTAAATTGAAGTAAAATAAACCGCAAATTTTAATTCTCAACTTTTGCTGTCAAATTGTCCACAAATTCCGGCAGCAAATTTCAGGTAATTTCAACATCAAAATACCCTCAATTTCAAGCTAAAGTGCCTATTAGGGTTATAATAAAATAGACCCATCGCTTCATGTGATGGCGCTTCAAAAGCCATCTATACACAGAACAAAGAATAATTATAATATTAAATGAATGTCACAAACTGTGGAATGGTCGGAAAAGTTTAGATACCTATCGCTACATTTTTTATCTCGAACTATGAACAAGCAATTTAATTATAATAATTTATCTTAGTTTTGGTATTTTTAAGGTAGGGCATTGTGATTTCAAGGGGGGTATTGCCCCACAATGCCCCCCCCCCCCCCAGCTACGGCCGTGATCGGTCAGCTTGTATTGTGAATGACCTGTCCAAAAATTTGGTGTGTAGCTGGCATTTTTAATATCAAATTTTCTGATGATCTCAAATGTCTCAAATGTGAGTCCTGGAGGAACTCAAACCGATTTTTTAGGTGAGTAGTATAGGATTAAAAAGAATATTATAAAGAAGCGAGGCGAGATATATTATATAACAATACAGTCTAGCACTATGATCCTATCCTGCACAGATGGTAAGTCTCCGTTGAGACTGAGATGATAACAATGCGTACGTAAGTTCACCTCAGTCCCGACTAACGACATCTAGTGGGCGTAAAATTATTAGCCCTCATTAAATGTTTCTTGTTATAGATTTTCTTACAGTCTATTAAATGTCCACTGATGAACCTTTAATATTTGCCATGGTTGCCACGACTGGCAACCGGGTTGTCAACCGCAGTTTTTTATTTATAGCAGCATATACCTACTCTGAATCAAATCTATAAATTTCAACGCAATATTACCTGATTTACTAAATCTATCGCGTGGAGAAACTCCGAGTTTACTCCGAGGATAACCCTCTTCGTAGCTCGCTGAGCGACCTTGAACTTTTTCATATGGTAGAATTAGAATACCCGATATAGCTCAACGGATTAGTAACCTGAAGTGGCAATGGGCCGGCCATGTAGCTCGAAGAACCGACAACCAATTTTGGAGGAAGATTCTTTAGAAAAAGTCTCGTCTAGATGGACTGATGACCTGGTAGGAGATGCAGGTAATCGAAGCAGGCACCGTGCTTTGTGGGACTCCTTGGAGGAGATTTTGCTCAGCAGTGGACTTGTAATGGGCTGTAGTCACGATGGTGATGATGATTACCTGATTTGCTATCGTGTCACCGTCATTTTGTGGGGTCGAACAGATTACTGAATCGTAATCTAAAGAGCTGTAATTTCCAATGCAGTTGTCCGACTGCAAAATTTCAGCCGAAAAAGATGTTGCTTTCATAGTGTCGCTGCCCGTACCGTTCTGAAATGCAATTCAAAATTAATATTATTCTATTTTAATTAATAAAAACTATTGAAGGCGCCATCTATTGTAGAATAGAATTCAATTTTAATAATAATTTAAATAAAACTTGACGGAGAAAAATATAAATTTAATAGAAAACTTAACAAGGAATCAGAATTAAACTTATTGAATAGTATAGGTTTCAGTCACCATAGAGTCATAACTTACTTTCACTAGCATCCATCCATACACTTGCACGTCTTTAATATCTTTGGAATGATTCCTGGATATTTGCAAAGTTTCAACATTAGCTGCCGGTTCTATTTTCATTAATGCTAAACTAGGAATATTAGGATGCGTTTCTATTCGGTCGTTAGATTTATTCTTGCTCTCCCAATGACTTTCATTATTGTGCTGTACGGTGGCTGGGTTCGAACTTTTTGGGTGGAGCTGAATTTCCGTTACGTGATGCGCAGAACCGTCTATAAGTGGGTTGGTAGCCCCAGCGATGATGGTGTATACACTTTGGTCTAATTTTGTCCTTGAATGATGTAATACTGTTAATGTTTAATCAATATTAAATTTTGTGAATTTAAAACGACAGATTTACTCTAGAATTGATTTTGAATTCGTTCCGGTCTTTGATTTAAACTCAGTTTGTTTAAATTTTTTTAAGTAAATTTGATTATAAAATCTTTATTCCAAATCGAATTGATAAACAAGATCGAGTTACGATCATGCGTTATCAGCGCCGTTTGGTAGAACCGGATATTTTATTTGCGGAGATTATAAAATTGAAATAACTTAAAAATTCACTTCAAAATTCTTTGTTATTGGGACAAATTTATCAAGAAAAAGCATTCTCGTACCTTGAGACTATGAGAGTCATCTAGCATCGGCTAGATAAAAACTTTCATTCTGAAAATTCCAATTCGAACCACTATTCAGTTGTGTGTTATGCTAGCTTCGGTTTGGGAAGTAGAAATTATCTTGAGTTCCAATAAAATTATGATAAGGCCTATGTTTTTTCGTCAATTTTATTGTCCTTAGGTTATGTGCATATATATTACATTAATTACAAAAATATATTTAACATTATATTTTTAAAAGTCCTAGTTAAAAAAAAACACCAATATACATAAGCATTACAACTTTGTTCTCAACATAATAATGGTATTTAGTACACACACGTGGCAGGAAATAGAAGTAATTTAATTTTGACCATTATTGACTCAAAATACTATCGAAAGCTAGCAACTGTTTTCCTTGAATGTAACAGTAAAAAATCTATTTTTGGGCTAAACGTGATCTGAGTAACTTACTGCTCCTTGGAATCTGTTACCCCCTCGGGAATTACAAGTGAATGCTATGAATACGTTTACTATCTATCTGTTTTTATGTGAAAATAATCACAATAAATTAATAGTAAATATATTTTTAAAAACAAGCTGTTATTTAAATCCTCTATTTTAATAAAAAAAACATAATTTTTTTCTTAGAATTACCTATATCCATTTGTATCAAGTTTCACTGTATTCTTGTGTAGTTGTATAGAAAAGTATAAATGATCAGTTTGGCTAATGTAAATGAGTGGAAATGCAACCTATTAGGCAGCCTCAAACAAAAAATTACCTTACAAAAATATAAGTATTAACCTCAAAATACAACATTCGAGCAGCGTTCATGCGATAAACTCTCTTTGTTTTACCGCTTAGGTAACATTTATTTCTTTTCCTACCCATATTTACATTTATAGTCACTTAAACGCGTATAAAACACTAAATTAACGATTTTCGCTACAGACACATTGACTGTTGTTACCTTACGTCACACGTCGAAGCGCTTGGTAATTTATTACGGCAAACTTTTATCTGGCAATATACGATATTATTATTAGGTGTTTTTAATTAAAACGAATTACGTTAATAAATAATATTTTGTATCGAAAATAAAGATAGCAGTCACCTTCGGAATCACAATACAAACATTTTTACGTAAAAGAATTTTTCCTAAATTAACATTCACAGAGTTTTGGAAGAACAATAATTTTATATATAATTTCTTAATTTTTTTTTATTTGTTGGTATATTCATTTATTTTAAAATTTTTAAAATGACGGTCAACTTGTTAAGGACCCGAACAAACCTACAAAAATGTTTTAAAGCTTAGAATTACTTCAGGTCAAAGTTCTATTCAAGAGAAATACATTAATTTTCGCCAGTTCTCTTCGTATTCGGCCTTAATTCACAATAATATTACATTGCCATATAAGACGACGTTGGATTAAGAACTTTTTTAATGTTTCGTTTATCAAGCTCTTTCATTTAATATACCCATATCATAGGAGTTTCTGTGGCAATTATGGAGTGTAAAAGTAAGGAGTACCAACTCCCATAGTAGAATAGTTGAAAAAGTGGTCATATCTGTAAGCAGTAAATAACAGTTCAGAAACTCTTCACAACAGCGCTGCAGTAGCTACTGGGATGAAATGAACTTAGCAGTTTCGACGGTTTGAAATGTGCTGCTAAACTGCTCAGTAGCTCCAAAATCTAAAATAATTTTATTTAGTAAGTATAACCTAGAAAAAGTCCTCTATCCCACTAATATTTTTCGGTGCGTTCTTTAAAATTTACCCCGTAGCTATATAGTGGCGCCACCTTATTTAAAGGTTTTTATGGACACTTTTTAATACACAGTCTGTACTCCTTACTTCTACACTCCATAGTGGAAATGATAAATCACTAATTTGTAACGTCCGCCATATTGCATTAAAATGGCGGCATTAAAGTGATTGTGCTTTGTCTCAAGTCCAAACATGCGTGCCAAATTTTGGTCCGATAGCTGTAATGGAAGTTTACAAATTTTTACGAAACATTTTTCACGAAAACTTCCATGACATACATACAAGTGAAGTTAAATAAAAGCTTTTAAAAATACATCGAAGCCCGTAAAACCTACACTATTCCTTCAAATGCTTCTTCTCTAAGTGTTCACTATTCATATTTTTCACTTTTTAATGCCTTTAATTTTGTTAAAAAAGTTGGCCGTCATTGCAATTTTTTATAGAATAAGGGTGAAAAACGAGCACACAGTCCATTGAGGGTAACTGGATGCTATGGCCCATAGACATCTACATTTATCCTCGATTAAGAATCAAAATGTAGATCAGGGATCTCTGCCCTGACGACTACGATGGAATGCCTCGTTTCCAGAAAAAGAGGCTCTCCGGATCTCTACACTCACCATACGAAACACAGCGGTATTAAGCTGCTATTTTACGCTGGTATTCTGTGAGAACGTGGTCCTTCCCCGGTCGAGCCGACCCATTCGTGATACAACCATAATATAGCTGCAGCGTGGCTCCACCGCGTATATTATTCGGCAGATGTGAAAAATGATAGAATTTGCAATTGATGAAAACCTATAAAAAAATATGGAATAAAGAAAATGTAAGATAAATAATATTAAAAAGTAATACAAAGTAGTAGTCGAAAAGAAAGGCACACGTGGTAAAGAAATCACACATAGAAAAGCAACGAAATATAATAAACGCAAGAGGTGGCATGACGGCATAAGAGAGCGTCATGCCGTTTGCCGTTACGTAACGGCGCCTCTACACGTTGGCCAACACAGTGGCGAATGTAGTGGCCAATAGCATTGGCCAACGTGTAGACGGGGTGTTTGGGCTTCATTGATATGTATTGGAACGATGGCCCGCAAGTTGGCGCGAGATCCGTGTGGTGTCGGTTTTTTACAAAAGATCAAAGGATTGTTGGTAGAGTTTGGTCGCCACGTCTACACGTTGGCCGCGAGTTTAGTTTGCTACAAGCTCCCAGAGTGATTACACGCATCTGATTAAAATTTTATATTCACGCTTTGTAGGGTGGATGACCCAATTACCAGCCATTTAGTGCCAATTTCAACTTTAAACATTCCTACTACTTTAATTAGCGCGATTTAATTATTTTTAAACATTTGTTTTAATCGATAAGCCATTTATAAAAAAAAAATACTGAACATTTATTTACAACCAGATTATTACGAGAACAATTTTAAAATGAAAAAAAAATGAAGCACGTCGTTTATACGTGGTAGAACCATGCAGTTTTATATTAGAAGTATAGTTGTAGGTTGTAGCACGAATGGGTCGATTCGACCGGGGAAGGACCACGCTCTCACAGAATATCAATGTAAAATAGTAGCTTAATGATGCTGTGTTTCGTATAGAGAGTGTAGAGAACCAGAGACACTTTTTAAAGGAAACGAGGCATTTCATCTTAGTCCTCACTGGTGACAACGCATCTGCATTTTGATTCGTAATCAAGGATAGATGTAGATGTCTGTGGGCCACAGCAACCACTTACCATCAGGTGAACTGTGTGCTCGTTTGTTACCCTATCTTACATAAAAAAAAGCTTTGATTTCTTATTAATATAAAATTTAATCGTGTAAGTTTTCGAATCATCATCATCATTACAGCTCTTCCCAAGTCCACTACTGAACATCCTCCTCCAAAGAATGCCGCAAAGCATGGTCCTGAGCCACTTTCCTTGTCATGAGTTTTTCAATTATGTTCTAAGTTATAATTAGTACCTATTATAAGTCAGTGTTAATTATATTTATTGCTATTGTTTTTGTCTTTTTCAAAAAATAATTAAATTACCAAATATAATTATAAGGTGTTTTTTATATACATCAAATGTCTGATAGAAAAGCAAGTACATGTTTTGCTAAACTTTAAAAAAGAAAACCCAATTTTAAAACATAGACTAATCGATTATAACTCCTTTAAATTTAAAATAAGTTAAGTTCTAATTAATGATATTTATTCCAGTTTCTGATGCATGTAAAGAATAAATAAAGCTAATCGTATATCCTATATCTATTTACAGCCCCCATTAATATTCACTATTCTTTTATAATTATTTGGACAACACTTGGATTTTCTCCTGTATCGCGGAGGCAACTTACAAACATAAATTGCACAAGGACACACATCCAGACCCGAAACAATTATTTGTAGGATATACAAATACATGTTCCGTGCGGGATTCAAACCCGCGACCCCTGGCACAGCCACTCATTGCCAAGCCACTGCGCCACGGAGCCGTCGTCTAAAATAACATAAATTCGTCCGCACATTGACCCGAACCGAAGTAAACTGAACGACCTTCCAACGTGTGGATGCCGTCACCAACTCTCGGCCAATATATTCGCCACTACATTCGCCACTGTGTTGGCCAACGTGTAGAGGCGACATAATAAGTGTCGTTCTTACTGCCAAGGCGTGCCAATAGATGTTTCACATCGAAATTTAGTTCCCCTTAGATTGTTAACCTAAAATATTTAAATCATTACCTGTTTTCTTTACTATATAAATATGACAGCAAATTTACACAACTGGCCGCTGTAAGTACCCAATACGGCGACAGCAGCGTCCCGCCGCATGTTTGCGCGGTAACGTTCGACACTGATTCAAATATGGCAACCAAAAATGGCGCATTTTCAGGAAACCCAAGATCTGTACTTTTATTATTGACACTTGTATCAATTAAAACATTATTGGTATCGATTGTGCTTTCATTGTCACGTTCACTTTTATCTTCGTGACCTACATAATGCTTTTGATGTGGTGATGCTCTGTTTCCGTTCACACTTTTATTTGTTTCTAAAGAAATGACATTGTCAGAATCCTCGATGGTGTTGTCTAATACAGTACCTATGTTATAAAGAGCTTCTGGTGATAATTCTTTATACACATCTTTAAAATCATTTAAATCTAATTTGCCTTTCTGAGTCGATATATTCTCAAGTTCGATGTCGTTTTTAATATTCTTTAACATAGACTGGGCGATATCTGGATTACATTCTTGCACATTTGAAAAGTCAAGAAATGTATTGTTGTTTTCATTCAACTTCGATAACGTCGAATTCAAAGCATTTTCGAATTCTGAAAAAAATATTCCTTTCGTAATAGAGATGATACTGTACAGGGAACATAAAGCACTGAAATGTTTTAATATCGTTTTTTTTAAATGGTCTGATTAAAATCATTAGGCTGCGGGCACGAAATTTGAGGCGGTCAAGCGATGGCGGTAGCGAGGCGGCTCATGCGACAGCGACGTAAACAAAAACATAGTTTAATATAGCGACGAGCATGAAACGAGCGAAAGCGGAGCGGGGCGATCAAGCGATGCCATGGCGGTGGGGGGCGATGGCGACAGGAACAAACTATTTTGATTTCACCCCTTGCTCGAGTATATAAGATTGTATTTTGATTTTTTATTTTAATAATGGAAGTTGATGACGATTTCCAACGATAACCAAATCGAAATTGCATCTAATTTTCTCTAAATTTATATTAAATGTGTCTAAAATTGCGACTCGTTCTCATTCTAGTATAGTTATAAAATTCCTTTGAATGATACCTTAAATCATAATAAAGGATAGAAAATTCGCACAAACCACTTCTCTCTTGATTTATTAAATGAACACCATCTCTAGCTAATAACAATTCCGCTCTCATTAGGAGATTAGGCTCCAAAAGTTCTCTTCGACTTAAACTCATGTTAATTCACAACACCACTCTAGCGCCACTGACCGAGAGCTTTCGAATCGCCCCGCGCCACGCCGGCCGCCCCGCTACCGCCATCGCTCGACCGTGGCTAACTTCGTGGCCACATCCTTAGATTTTCAAGGCCTTAGACAAAAAATCAACATCAATATAATTGATGCTTAAAGCTGCACTCCCTATCTTTATCAAATTACAACAGAATAAGACAAGTATACAGATAATTAACAACATCCCAGTCCGCGAAAGACACAATAGTTTAACAATTTAAATTTTCATATAAGACCTGGGGCTGTGAAGTGATTAATATTTGATTTAAATAAGCGTTATTCAATGATTATAAGCCGATAGTCGATATAACGTCAGTCTTTTACAACACTGAACAAAATGTAGCGATGGTAGAGCAGTCCTTCGGTATATATAAAGAAACTCTGTGGATGGAGTCTCTTTCGGCAACGCAAAACAAACTTTTTTATTGATTAAGGGTGACAGACGAGCACACAGTCCATCTGATGATAAGTGGTTCACGCTGATATTCTATAAGAGCGTGGTCCTTCCCCGGTCGAGCCGACCCATTCGTGCTACAACAATAATATAGCTGCAGCGTGGTTCTACCACATATGAAAATCTTTCACCGCAAAACCACCAGGATATTTTCAGGGCACACCCTCCCCTCCACCCACAAAAAAAAAAAACAACCCATACTAATACTAAATTTAAAAAATTACCTGGTAAATTATCGAGTAAAAACAGAAACACCGTCGCACTGGACATAACTTGACTGTTATTATCGACGTGTAAAATCACAATGCTCAGTAACGACGGCTGTTTTCCCAACATTGCGCTTTCGTAAGCAAATATTATTAGAAATTATTGGTGTTTATTACTGGCTACTTTATAACGCAATGACCGATTTTTAAGAAAGCCGGTGACGAAAATAAAAATGAATAAAAATCCATTTTTATTACCTCTGTCCCAGACACTCAGTTTTTGATGTAATCACACCAAGTGAATATAATATAATTTCTACGTATTATCGCATGTAGGTTCAAGCAGATTGAGGTAATTGTTTAAAGAAAAAGGATATCAAATTTGCACACACTCCAAATGATGGTAAGTGAATGCTGTGTCCCATAGACACCTACATCTATCCTCGATTAAGGATCAAAATGCAGTTGCGTTGTCACTCCTGAGTACTAAGATGGAATACCTCGTTACCAGTGAAAAGGTTCTCAGGTTCTCTACATTCAGCATACGATAGCAGCGTTATTTTTGCTGCTTCAAGCTGGCGAGTGCGTGTTTCGTCCCCGATCGGGCGGACCCATTCTCCACCCATATCTAGTGGAGAATGGGTATATCTATAATGATATGGTATCCATATACCATCTCTAACTCTTCACCAACCACGTATTTTTCTTTTTCTATAACTCTTTACTTCAGAGCACTTAATTTATTATGTTTTTGGCACAGACAGCAAAATGATCATGACTGAGACTACGAACTTCTAACCGACAACAGTAATAAGTCTGAGGAGAAATTCATTTTTGGGTTTATCTTTTCACTTAATAGATTTTTGTTGAGACAAGCTCGGGAAGGTAGACTGGATGTACTGATATAACCCACCCATTATTTTTAAACGTGAAAATTAAATGAAACAAATGAAATTAACCTAAATTCTTTATTTTTCAACGTTAGAAATTAAAATTTCGCAAGTTGTGTGTGTTTTATATTAAAATCTACTATTGTCACAAAATGGAAGAGAAGAAAAGAGAATAGCATTAGAAACTTTACAATATTTTTCAGATATAAAGATTTCTTTTTACATTTATAACATTTGTACATTATATACAATTTTTACAAAATTCCTTTAGTTTACATGCGTTTACGACATTACATGAAATATATCATTCCTTCTTAAATACTCATACCGACAAAGATAAACGGATTTCTAACGATTTCTAAGAATCATGCTCAACTCCTGGGCACACATCGTTCTTTTTTTTGGGTCAGCCCGTAAAAGTTCAATGCTTGTGGCACACATGCATATAAAACCATATTGTTAATTGCAGATAAAGATTAAAGTAAAATAAAAATAATTATCAATTTATTCTCGATTTTGAGTTATAATGCCATGTAGTATGGTCATGTACATATACGACAGCATAAGAGACATTCAAGGAGTATTAAATCTACAGTGAAGACTACTACATGACGTATTATTATTATTTATTCCCCGAACCTCCCAACATTACATGGCGACCCTGTCAGGCGATGTGCCACTACAATGCAAGCGCACCGCCGGGACCGGTATAGCAGATAAATTAAGTTATGGAAGAAAATAGATACATCAATATAAATAAATAATAATAACAAAGAGAACATAATACCGGACGTGACAAATAACATTTAAAACACGAATATAAGCAGATACTACAATTTTACTTATATTTAAAGAAGATTTTTGAAGACCAATTTAATAATGAAAAAGAAAAATGATACACTTAAAGAAAAAATGTTATGGATCAAGTAATGAAAAATAAATTATAGAAGAAGCTCTAGTAACATTGCTATTAAATCAAGATTGACAAGTATAGAGAAAGAAGATTTCAAGATCCAGAAACATCTCCTCTCAAACGCCACTGGTTGGATCCGACCACGGCGATATTCCGTCAAATCCCAAGCGGTCAGATCCGACCGCACCCCCCACAGCACTTTAAACCATAAAACTTATATTTAGAGACTACTTTTTCATGAAGAAGTTTGCCATGATAAAATTTATACAAAATTTATATTTTATTGTCTAAACAAGTCAGTTACTCTATGGATTTTTATTTTTATTCTACTGTCAATTTGCGAAATTTGCCGACCATACGAAAATGGCGCAATTTTACGGTAGATTAAAAATAAAAATCCATAGAGTAACTAATTTGTTTAGACCACAGCATAAAGAGTTTCTTATGGATTCTATAATGCCAAACTTCATAGAAAAATAGTCTCTTAATATGTTTATATGGTTAAAAGAGCTGTGGGTGGGTGCGGTCGCATGCGACATTTAAAAAATGAAAATGCATTAAATAACTGACTTTTGTTTAGACTATAAAATAGAAAATTTTGTATATATAATTTTGTATTTATAATATAGATTCTATAATGCCAAACTTCTTCATAGAAAAGTAGTCTCTAAATATAAGTTTTTATGGTTTATATATAGTGCTGTGGATGGGTGCGATCGCATGCGACCGCTCGGGATTTGACGGACGCATGCGACCGCTAGGGAATTTTAAAATTTTAAGGGGTTTGAAGGGTTAATCCAAATTCCTTCAAGAGAAAAGTATCAACTTTATAAAAAATAAAAATGAAAGAAAAAAGAAGCCCAGTCCCAACAACGGGCGGCTAGCCAAGTTACGTAGCAGATACGAGACATATCTCGAAAATGCCTAATATAAGTCAAATTATATTATATACATCTCAAATCGTATTATTACTTATATAATGTTATACACAGTTCTGGAGAAAGAAAACTTAAATCATTAATTAACAAGTAGGAAAAACAATAGTACTATTAATAGAAAAATTCAAAATGATGTATTATACCGCAACAATTAATCGGTAAATAACTACTTGATAATGATAATAATAATATTCGTTTTGAAACAATATGGTTCTAAAATAGTGTTTCAAGTATACCTAATTAGTTCTACATATTCTACTATAGTAGTGTGCAAATAAGAATGGTCAAGTAACTATAACAATATCTATGGAAATTTTAACATCATATAAATTATTCAGTTGATAAGAATAAATTATACAGCATCAGAGGAAATACCAACGTAAGATTATTTGTTTCACAAGGAACATTTGACATAAAGATTGGGCAGGGTTATTCCGCTGGAGGAGCTAACACGTCGTATCGCTTTAACTCCATTATTTGAAAGTTTTATCGCTAGCGACATCTATGATTTTATAAAGAAATCACAAATTCTTTCGTAAAAATGTAGATGGCAGCGCTAACTCTTATGCTGTTGTACCGACACCCATTTTTTATTCAGGACGCTATTTTAGCTATGAAGTAACGAAACACGTGCTTACCATAATAATTGACATATTTAAAAGGGGGAAGATACTTTACGCGCTAACATCGCAATCACTAAGGCCGGTTTTAGAGCTCGACCGACCGCTGCTGCGTACGTCGGTCGCGCTTGCCATTTGTATGAAAATTCACAAGTCGTTACAGTGCTCGACCGACCGACGCACGCGTATATAGCTACGCACTGCGTACGAGGATCGTGACATTCCGCCTGTGGCATCGCTTCCGAGCGGTCGCATCCAGGTAGTCCGCGCTTTCGTTCCTGTACGGTAGTGCTCTCCCGCTCTCGCGCCCCCGCTGTCCCGCTCGCGCTGTACAGCGCCGACGCAGTGCTCAGTCCGCCGGCGGCATCGTTCTCGGACGGTCGCCTCCAGGTGGTCCGCGCTCCCGTACAGTACGGTAGTGCTGTCGCGCTCTCACGCGCCTCCGCTGTCCTGCTTACGCGGAACAGCGTCGAGGCTGCCGGTGAGTCACTTTTACGCTACAGTTCTTGCCCCCCTGTCTTCGGGCAGGGAGGTCTGACTGACTTCCGCTTTTCATTTTCATTTTCACTTTTCATTTCATTCTCATTTTTCATTTTCATTATCATTTTTTTTTTTGTACTGTCTCCTTTATTTTCTTGTGTTCTTGTTATTCTTGTATTACGTGTATAGTGTGTCGTAGTACGTCTCGCGATCTAGTCCCTGTTCTACCGAGAACAGGGACCCGTCCTCATCTTTATTTTTACATAGCTCAGCTTGCTTACTGACCCAAAATGGCCAGACCCAGTTTCACTGAGTCCCTCGCCGCCCTCATTAACCAATTCGGTTTAAATGGCAATGAGACGGTCCTCGCCGCCATCGCCACCATCGCCGCCCAGGCTTCCCTCCCTGCCCCTCAGGCACACCATCCGCCGCCGGTAATCGCATCTTACCTCGAAACGAGGAACTCTTTTGCCCCGCTCGAATCTGCCCCCCTAGAAATGGAGTACGCATGCTCCGAGTCCTCGGCGCCGTCCTCCCGGAAGAGGCGCGCCACTACTACAGGCTCCGGTTCATCGGAGTCCTCTGACTCCGACGGAACCGGGGAGTCCACATTCACTCCCGTCAACTCCAAGCGCAACGGAAAGCGCGCCGCGATAAAACGTACCCCGCCTATCTCAGCGGCCCCTGCCGCTCCTCCAACTTCCGCAGCCCCCGCCGCTGCCGCCATCCCGCTCATGTCCCTTGACATCCCAACTCCATCTAAACCTTCCTCTCGATGTGCTCCAGTCCTTGCTAAGAAGCAAGTCCCGCCCCCTGTCTTCCTAAGAGACAAGGCCAAATTCACCAAACTGTCGAAAACCTGCTACGACGCAGGAATTAAGTACGACAATGCTGTCAACCTCGGGGAGGCTATCAAAATCATCCCCAGCTCGATCGAGGATTTCCGAAAACTCACCAGGCTTTTCACAGCCGAACGAGTCTCCTACCACACCTACGCTCTCCCGGAAGAGCGTAAAGTCAGGGCCGTCATCCGAGGCGTCCCCTTCGAGTTCTCGAACGAGGAAATACTTGAGGACCTTAAGTCCCAAGGCTTTCCTGTCGAAGCCGTGCACAAAATGCACAACAGAACGGGCAAGAGATACAACCTTGCCCTAGTAATCCTATCAAACGTGCCGGAGGCTAAAGCCATCTTCCGGCAGGTACGCACAGTGTGTGGCCTGTCAAGGGTGAAGGTAGAGCCCCCACATAGGCCCGGTTTCCCGGCGCAGTGCCACCGCTGCCAACTTTATGGTCACGCGGCGGCCAACTGCTCCGCCCCACCCAGGTGCGTTAAGTGCCTAGAACCACACAACACGAAAGAGTGTCCCCGGCCCAAAGACGCCGAATCCCCGCCCGCTTGTGTCCTGTGCAACCAGACAGGACACCCGGCTAATTACAAGGGTTGCCCACGCGCACCTCAACCTCGCCCCAGTAGGCAAGCTCCACCGCCGATGAATGACCGCTCATTCCCGGCCCTCCAACAACGGCCCCGTCAGGGCCTTTCTCAGCCCACCCAGGGCTTCTCTCGACCCTCTCAGGGCCCCCCTAGGCCCCCTCAGGGCATAATTCGGCCCCCTCCGGGCTTCTCCAAGCCAATGCAGCCTCCAGTCTTTCCCTGGGGGCCCAAAAAGGCAGACCCACCGCGGACAACCTCGTACGCTCATGAAGCAGAGCCCACAATCGACGACTACAACACGCTATATTCCGCTATTAGGAATATCGATGTTAGGGAAATAACAGTAGTATCACGCAAACTGCGCGCGGCCAAGTCCCCCCAAGAACGTCTCCTCGTTCTTGCGGAGCACAATAACCTTCTGTTAGCGTTGTAAGTTAGGTTAACTTAATTAACTTAACTTCAATGACTGAGCGAATTAACCTACCAAGATCTCACGGTCGTATCAAACCTAAGGGTTTATCGCTTGTATCATTTAATATTCGCGGCTTGCGAAATAACCTCCCAGAGCTCAAGCTCTTTCTTCGGAATCGTGAAGTCGATTTCCTCCTCCTAGAGGAAACTAATCTCAAAGCTAAGGACAC